ATGTGTAGTTTGATTCTTTTCGTTAGAGACGGTACACTCTGTATATAAACTATATATATACAATATACATACATATTTTAATATACATCTATTCCATGTGTATATAGGTATTATTTTATAAAATAAAATTACGTATATTGCCTACGCCAGCTATCTGCCGCACACACACACGTCACACGGCCGTTTTGTACCATTTCGTATGATATAATATTTAAACGCCGTGTACGATTTTACCGTGTCTTATAACGCGAGACAATCCGTGAGAGTCGAACGCCATGAAATAGAGAGCTAGATTTTTATAATATGTATACATTTATAATAATATTATGTTTTATTTAAATTTTTTTTTCTTTCTTTTTTGACGACATAATTGGCTCGGCCGATATACATTATAAACACAGGTTTCACTCGAACAGAACAATAACATTTTGACGTCACCTCCTCTTAACGTTAGATTTGCACATTTCTATCCGTCCATCACCCTATCTCTCTTAGTCTCTCTGTCTCTCACACTCTCACTCTCTCGACGATGTACAATGTACATAGTACCCAGTCCTGTAAAGTATTTGAGTAAAAGTATTCAAATACTTTTTTAAGTATTGAATAACTTTTTAAATACTTTCAGCATGAAGTATTTTGAATGGTATTTTAAATACTTTTATTTGTATTGAATACTTTTTGGTATTGAATACTTTGGTTTTTTATTTCGAACATTTTATTTTTATTCGAAATAATTTTAGAAATTTTAGATTGAATTAAGAACACAAAATAGGTAGTATCACCAATGAGTGGTTTCTTCCCTCAAAAAAAAAAATCATACGGAAATACCCTATGCACATTTGCTTATTGTTCTAGTTAAGAACAGATTGTAAATTTCATGTAAAAATAAAAAAAAAAATGTAATAAACATTTATTTAATAAATAATAAATAAAAATGATTATAAATTTACTACCTATGTGTCTATATTACAATAATTAGAAACCCACTTTAAAAACCAAAAGTTTTTGAAAAGTATTTCAAATACTTTTTCAAAGTATTTGAGTAGTATTTGAAATACTATACAATTAAAGTATTTGAGTAGTATCTTAAATACTTAAAAAAAAATATATTTGAGTACTTACTCAAGTACTTTTCAAAAGTATTCTTTACAGGACTGATAGTACCTCCTATAGGTATATATTATATAATATATATTGTATTCGCGCCCGCCGAAGGTTCGCGGCGGTGAACCACGATTGCGCCCAGCTTACCTTTTTCCATTCAAAAAACGCAATACGATTGCGCTCGACTAATTAGCACTATCGCGCCAGTCTATAACCTTTTTTACCTGCATAAAACGCAACACGATTGCGCTTTAATGTATATATTATATGTGTTTGTCCCGTATATGTATATGTTATATAACAATTTTCTAGTACACTATTTAAAAATACAGTCGGACTTGGTTTTCCTTGGACTTGCACCGAAAAAAATATCATTTGTAATATTAATAATATGATATTGTCGAAGTTTAACAATGTTAATCTTGTCACCTGGATAATAAATTGTGTGAATAACAAGATATTTTGTAAAAACAATGTAATATATTGTCAATATGATAATTATCATGATTGGCGCAAAAATGATTAATAATATTATTATTGAATCAACAATAGCTATTTTATCCAAAAAATAACATAGGTTGTATTAACAATATGGCATTGTTGATGTTTGACAATATCAATATTGTCATTTGGATAATATCTTGTGTGAATAACAAGATATCTTGTAAAAACAATATAATATATTATTGATTTGATAATCATTATTATTAAAATGAAAATGAAGCTCATAACCTCATAAACTTTCTACAAGTTACAACCCATGTCCATTACCCAGTGACCACTCGTAACGTGTTTTACTGTTTTGAGTGTTTTGACATTTGATTTGTGCTTTTGTCTTTTGACTTCCCGAGTGGCGGTACCGAATTTTAAGTTAAATAACTGCAGTTTGAATAGGTTTACCTATAGTTCCTCGTGGATTCAGTGTGTTGAAAATATTGCATTTGTGGCACTGTGGCAGTTGCGAGTTTGCGACTAACTTCTAATTTCTGTCAATCAGGTAAGTATCCATTATGATATGTTATATTTGCAAATGTGATGTTGTTGGTGAATTGAAAGCTTTAGTTGTACATTATAAATTAATTCATTTACTTAAGCCTGATAGTTCTTATACATGTTTGGAAAATGCTTGTTCACAATCATTTAATTGCTTGTCATCATTTAAAAGGCATGTCAATAAGAAGCATGTAGCTGTTATTTCTACAACATCTCCTTGTACTTCTACCAGTCTACAAAGTGGTAACTGTGTACAAGAAATATTTAATACGGCCCCGAGTATAGAGTATTCTACTACAGATAGTATTAATAATTATGATGAACTTAAAGATACATTTAACTTTGGAAAATCTGCAAAAGAATTGTATGAATCAACTTTAAAATTTATTGTTAGCTTATACAATAATAACAATTTCAATAATAGTGATGTACTTTATATTCAGTCTGGGATGACAGAAAATATTTTGAAACCTATAGCCTCCATTCTTAAAAGTATGGTCAAAATTAATATTTCAGAACCTATATTAGTTTCTACTTTTAATAGGCTTGAGGGATTAATACTAGATCCATTTAGTTATTGCAGTACAGAGTATCACTTAAATAATTGGCTTATAAGCAATAACTTGTTATGCAAAGTCCAACAGATAACTATTAATAATCAAATGTGTCCTGTTTCTTATAGTGGTGAGATTTGTTATAACGAAAAAGTAACTAAAGGGGCTCTCTTACCATTACAATTCCAATTTAAACAATTTTTCGAACATGGTAACAATTTCAAAACAAGTTATGATAGGCTAGTTAATTTCCAAACTGACAAAACATCTTTCTCAAATTTTGTACAAGGAAATTTATGGAAACAAAAAACATCTCAATATGAAGGAAAAATAGTTTTTCCATACTTTTTGTACATTGATGATTTTGAGATAAATAATCCATTAGGATCTCATGCGACGTATCAATCTATTGCAGCCATTTACTATAGTTTTCCTCTTATTGAAAATAATTCTAAGCTATCAAATATATTTCTAGCTGCATTAATTAAATCAGCTGATTTTAAAGAATTCGGAAATGATCCATGTTTATTGCAAATAATTGATGAAATTAATTATCTTGCTAATGAAGGAATAATTATTACAACAGAACTTGGTGACTTTAAAGTTTATTTTATTCTTGGATTAATTTTGGGGGACAACTTGGGGCTCAACAGTATACTTGAATTCAGTAAGTCATTTTCTTCCAATTATTATTGCCGGTTTTGTAAGACTCATAAAAATATTGCAAATAAGCTTTGTGAAGAAGATGGCTCATCTATGCGTAATACTAATAACTACTTAGAAGATGTAGCCCAAATGAATTTCAGTGAGACTGGAATTTATAAAAACTCAATTTTAAACTGTATTGAACATTTCCATGTCGTAGAAAATTATTGTGTAGATATTATGCACGATATCTTTGAAGGCATATGTCATTATGATATGTGTCACATTATTAAATATTATACTAACACGGCACAGATTATTTCTTTGTACACTTTAAATAAACAAAAAACTAATTTTAATTATGGACCAATTGAAGTTGGTAATATATCTCCTGAAATTACTGAACAACATTTAAACAAATGCCATTTAAAGATGTCAGCTAGAGAAATGATGACATTTGTTCACTTTTTTTCTATCATGGTTGGAGAATTTATTCCTGAAAATGATGAAGTTTGGAAATTTTATTTAACACTTGTTAAGATAATTGATATGCTTCTATCATACAAGTTTACTGAAAGCAAAATTGAATATCTTAAACAACTAATACATCAGCATAACTCTATGTATATAAGGCTATTTAATGATACATTAAAACCTAAGCATCATTTCTTAACGCATTATCCCAATATTATTCGACATGCAGGACCTCCAAGACATTATTGGTGCTTTCGCTTTGAAGGGAAACACAAGGAACTTAAAGCTTATGCACGTACCACATCATCACGGAAAAATATTACTTTGACATTAGCAAAAAAATTTCAATATAAATTTGCTTACATTTTACTACAACCTATTAATACTCTGCACACTGTATTGAAACAAAAACATTGTATAAGCAGCTTATATTCAAATACTATACTTACCAAAATTTCTCTTACCACAAATGGCACATCTTTTTTTTCTTGTTACAATCAAATAGAGTTCATGGGGACAGTTTACAAAAGAGGATATTATTTAACAACATTTATTGAAGAAATTAATTTATTTGAGATATTAGAATTAGTGGTTATTGATAATCCCATTTTAATAATCTATGTACTAGTTAAACAGATTAAAATAGAAAACTTTAATTCACATCTTGAATCATTCGAAGTTGATAAAGACAGAACCATTGTAAATAATTGTTTGATTTTTAAAATAGAAGAATTCAGTGGACCCCCTATTAACATTACACCAACTTCATCAGGCAGATTAATGATCCGTCTAAAAGAATTTTTTTAATAATTTATATTTTTCAACCGTAATTCTATGTATATAATAACGTTATTTTCATATTTGTATATATTATTTTTTTTAAATCTTTAATTAGTATTTTAGCATTTATTAGATTACAGTATAATTTCAAGTAAAATAATAATGGATGGACCAACAGAAACATATATAAATTCACATTATGCTGTTGAATCAAATTGTGTTGATGCTTTGAACTCTGCTGGCGATATGAATTGTTCTGATGATTTGAATTGTGTTGATGCTTTTATTAATACTGATAATGCTGCAAGTATTATAATATATCCACTTACAAAATAATTTTATAAACACTTGTGACTTGTCTTAAAAAATAGCCATTTTAAAATAAATTATTATCCAGCTTTTAACTAATCCCTTAATAACATTTTTAATTTACAGTCTTCAACAATAGTTATGCCATTTCTGCAAGGTTACGTATATCCAGTTGAAGACTTACAACCTTTGCACGATTTACTAAAAGAGTGGAATTTGGAATGTACTTATCAAACTTTACTTGGTAATATAATAATTCACTTATATTGCGATTCCAATCACAATTATAAAACAAGTTTGCTTACATTAACTTAACTTATTTCAGATGAACTAATTGACTTGAAAATTTTGGCAATTATGAAAGTTGACTATCACACTAATGAACTTTTGAAAAATTACCCACTTGGCATTAAAATATTATTTTCTAATAACTTAGAAAAGTGGCAAAATTCAAAAAAATCATCTTCTATGACATCACTGCTTCCAACTACTTTGGACAAAAAACTTTCTCAAGAAAAACTTTCTTCAGCCATATCTATAAATCTTGGAGAAATTTTAAATGAGTGCTCAACTGGATTAATGATCAATGACTATTATAAGACAAATCACAAATTTAATGACAATATAAGAACATTGTTGGTCGATACTATTATCAATTATGTTATAACTAAGAAAATATCCATGTCTGTTGCCCTCGCTAATAGTATTGCTGATCAAATTGCTGATATATTTCCAACAGAAGTAAAAGTTAGTATTTTTATTTATTATTATATTTATTCTATTTTAACCATTTTTTCTAACTTTTTAGGATTCATATTTTTTAAAATATGATACAAACAAAAATCCAAAGGGTAAGCTGTATGCTAAATATTACAACTCTATGCGAACTTTGAAAAACAGTGGTCTAATACCCTCTAGCAATCATACAAAACGACCAACCAATCCAATTAATCGCAAACACGATTTACATTTTGGTATGTTATTCAGATTTAATATTTAAAAAATTGTTAAAATTATGATACTTATCTTTATTGAATTGGTATGTTGCAGAACCAGAAAATGATGTACAGTATATTCTTGAACAAATTAAACACGATAATAATTGTTCTTTCCCTGACTTAGAATATAACTGGAAAGCAACAACACAGTTCCGTTTAAAAAGTATTCAAACTTCAACCTCTACTCATGATATACTTAACAACTGGAGCAACTATAAATTACCTTTAGGATACAGACTAGTAATTTTTACTTTATTTTAATTTAAAAATATTAAATATAGTAATTTGCTATAGGTCTACATTATTTATAACTTAACAATTAAAATAATATTTTCAGGTTGACATAGATTTTAACACAATGTATCCCAGTTGCTCTAATCTAATTTCTACATTTGAAGAAAAATCAGAAAAAATCATAAACTTATTGGATGAAAAAATAAAGGACACTTTAAGCCGACGGTTATTTGAAAGTTTGAACGAGCCAACTGCAGATATAAGCCAAAGTATAAACAATTTTATTTTTATAGAAAATGTAGTGCTAATAGTGGCTATAGAATAATGATTTAGGACTTAAGTATTAATTTAATGAATACTAAATAGCATATAAATATAATTGATAAAATTAATAACAGACAATAACATTGTTATACCCTATATATAGGTACAATCTAGTCTCTATAAATTAATAAGATTAAAAAATTGTAATTACAATTTATTTTATCTATTATTAATTTACCCAGCTACATACATTTTGCAATTGATATAAATAAAGTATGTATATCATATATTGTTGTGGTTGTGTAACCATTAAATACTTAATACATTTTAGTAAATTGTAGTAAAACTACTTTAATCTTATTTTGTAGTGACTAGATAGATGGTAATTATACTATCACTATAAATTTTGTACTGTACAATTTAAAATATAATTATATTATTTTTATGTTAAAAATAAATTTAAATATTTCAGATGGGAAGAACACGATTATATTTTATTTATTACATGCAATCTTTATACCAACATCGATAAAAGTCACAAGGGATCACACAGGCAAAAAAAATCAGACAAAATATTCAATCAAAGATTCACAGAATAGCTTCATTGTATTTAAAAACTCAGTTTGTGAAATAGAAGAATACATTAATATCCGTCGTAGCGAAAAATCTCCAATACAGCCTTTTATTATGGTAGTTGGTACTCCTATGAACCCACAAGAAATTATTGTATATTTTGACTCTATAAAATATAAAGTTTTTTCCATTTTACATGCCATAGATGTAACATTTAAATTGTTTCATCTATTTAATTTAGAATATCCACCACAGTCAGTTTTAGTTTGGTTGTTTATTCAAAAATTTTTTTTTTCCATCAATACTAAGTTTGATGTTCCATGCCACACTCTTGGACAAATAATGTCAGATTTAAACAATTAATAATATGAATTTTTAACTTTTTTAACTGTACAAATAATTTCAAATACACAATTTTTTAATTCAGCAAATTTAATCTTGTTTTTCATTTTACCTTATTCCTGTTAATTTAAAGCTAAAGCATGTACAAGCAATTATTATTCAAGTCACTTTAGAGTAATGTATTATTCTTTAAATGGTTTTATTTTTATACAATATAATATATACCATACAGTGTTCAATGTACATAATAATATGTAATATTATTAATTATATTAAGGTGGGGAAAAGCATTAAACTTTAAATAATTATAATTCCTTGTAACATGCTTAATAGTGTTGTACTCAATGCACTTAGGCCAATATTTATTGTTTATATACAATGCACTAAATAGTGTTAGTAGGTATATATTTTAAATTAAAATAATGGTGTGAAATACAATTAAAATGTAACACAATTTAATCCTAATTCCTAATTATTAACAATAACTAATAAGTAAAACAACTATTTGAACAACTATTTTTAGAATTCTAAAAACAGCAATATATAATATTATTGTTGATTCAATAATAATAATCCAACAATGTTTTGAATTATGGTAACAATCATGATTTATACAATTAATTATACTAATTGTCAAAGCAATCATTTTTATTGATTGATTCAACAATTTCAGTAGTTGAAACAGGTATTGTCATATTGATAAAAAAATCTTGTTGGTTCTATATTGACAAGACAATTGTCAAATCAACAATGCTTATTGATTGATTTGACATTATCAGAAGGTGCAACAATAGTATTGTTAAATTGATAAAAAAATCTTGTTGGTTCTATATTGACAAGACAATTGTCAAATCAACAATGCTTATTGATTGATTTGACATTATCAGAAGGTGCAACAATAGTATTGTTAAATTGATACAAAAATCTTGTTGGCTCTATATTAACAAGATTATTGTCAATCTAACATAGTTTTTTATCAATATGATTGTGATTTTTTTTTCGGTGTGATTTCCCCATATGTACAACCGATAAAAACATATTTAATTAGACATTTTTAATTAAAAAGAAATATCTATGATAGAGCTACTATTAGAGTATTATTATGAAAAAAAAAAAAAAAAAATTGTAACTCAAAATTTTTAACCAAGCCAACAATTTAATTTTGTTGTCAGTCCTAAGCCTGTAAAATTGGGAAGGAAAATTATTAAGAGCGCAATCGTGTTGCGTTTTATGCAGGTAAACAAAGTTATAGACTGGCGCAATATTGCTAATTGGTCGAGCGCAATCGTATTGCGTTTTTTGAATGGAAATAGGTAAGCCGGGCGCAATCGTGTTACACCCGGTTCGCGGACGGCTCGCGGAACAACTGTTAATTATTATAACGACCGCGTGATGTATATTATAATGTACCGCCTCTACCCGGACTTCTATAATAATAATAATAATAATAATAATAATATGATATTATTATTATTATAATATTACATAATAATATGTGGGTCCGTGAAGTTAGCCGCACAATGTCAAAATTTTGACTCCAAATTTTGTAAATAATTTGTAAGTTATTTGTAAGTATTTGTAAGCACAATTTGGTAATTTGTAAGTACAGCCGTTTTCAATTATCCTTAAAAGTTTAAATCACGGCTAACTTTCGTGAAACTATATTGTATACCTACACATTACAGTACAGACGCGTACACCGGTGTTATTATAATTTCGACAGAGGGGGCCACACTTATTATATTATACTAGTGACTTGCGAGTGTTTTAATTTTAACGTGTCAACAATGCGTACGTTACTCATTATTATAACACATATTATACAGGTATTATATTATAACGAGATCGCTTTTATGGGTAATGCGATGGGTTAGGACGGTTACAAAATTATAGTAAAATACGATTCGAAATATTTAACGTATAATATAGTTATCGTAATGAAACTATTTTTAGAACCTGAGCGAAAAGAGGAACGGTTAAAAATATGTGGAAATTATAATAATAATAATGAAAATAACTTCGTTATAATTATTACCATAGTATATATTATATTATTTGTATTGGTTTATCTAAAATATTTGTATTTTTTTTTTCGTCAGACGATAATTTTTTTTTTTAACAGTAAATTGATTTCAATCTTCAACAGTATCTATATTATATGGTTGTTTATGCGGTATAAAATAAAATAGTTCTTATACTTTGTTGAGGGGGGGAGGTTCTCCTGGGGAAGGGGCGTACATTTTTCTTCTTGGTCAGATAGCCTGTAAACGTAATAAGTACAAAGTTTTTCATAATTTGTTCTTACAATTATAGTTAAAAAATATCGAAAAAATATATGTATACACCTAAGTAATTACGTTTTTATAAAAAAAAAAAAATTGATGAAAATTAAATGAATAAAATGACTTTTTCTTAAAAAATTTTAGTTTTTTTACTGTAATTCAAAAATATAAAATCGCAGAGACTTGAAATTTTACACAATTGAGTACGTCATTATTTTATATAAACTCAGAATTGTTTTTCGTATTCGACGATCAATCATCGAATTAAAATTGTACACGTCCATTGCAGTGATTGATTGATCTACAACTCAATGCCAAGGTGAAGGTATACACTCAAACCTATTATTTAAATAGCAAACTCGATTTCCATTACTTGAAGTGGCAAATTTCATAATTTAAAAAGGTGGGCAAGTGGTTGTCGCTCTGCTGTACAGTAGGTTACAAGTGGGTCACTGCAGTATAATGGATGGTATTAAATTTGAATTCAATGATATAATATCATTGTATAAGAAAAACGATTCTGAGCGGTGACGGTATGTCAGTCTCTGTATAAGACATATTATATACATATCTATGGTATTAAACAAAAAATAGGTACCTATAATAAATTCCAAATTAATCATATCACAATATCCATTAGATACTTATAACTAGAGTTAGGATGATGATGACTTTTGCATTTTTTTTTTCCTTTTATTCTGTACAATGCTATCCTAGCTAAAAATTTGTTTCATGCTCCCTTGATTTAGAATATTCTAATTTTATTTTGCATTTTTTTGCATTTTTTTGCATTTTTTGCATTTTTAGCTATAAATGCATTTTTTTTTTGTTTTTTAACGTCATTTTTCAACATTTTTAGGTCATTTTTTCATCTTTTAGGGAATTTTTTGTACTTTTTATACAATGTGGGGCATTTTTCACAAATTATAGATTTTAGGGCAAATGTTACACCCAAGTTTGGAAATAAATTTAATTTATTTAAAATCTAACTTCGAATTTGGACTATTAGGAGAATGTCATTTTGAAGAATAATGGATTTAAAATTGTAACTAACATCTCTGAAATGCTAGATGGCCACATTAATTGTTCAGTGCAACAACGGCACAACGCAATATGAATATTATTATAACATTAACATCCTAAAACTAATAATGAAAATATTTTTAGTATAATTTTTTTTTATTTATATTTACTTTTAATTTATTTTTAATATTGAAATTTATTTATAAATTATTTAAATGCTTATACTATTACACCCATTATTATACCCATATCTCTAATAAAAATTATTATTTATAAATAAGTTTTTTCACTTACTTAATAATTAGTATTTTAGATAGATTTTAAGGGCTTTTTGCACTTTTATTAGGGCTTTTTTGCATTTTTTTTAGGGCATTTTGTGTGTTTTTAAGGTCATCAACATCCTAACTCTACTTATAACGCGTTATACATCAACAAAAACCGTGATACTATCATAGATATATAATATTACACTTTAGAAGTTTCAAGTACCCACGAATAATATTATTCAATCACAACAAAATAACTAAAATAGTTATTCTAGGTTTTTTAATATGTAATTTCGTCCAAATTTGAATTTAAAATGTCTGTGAAAAAATAAGTGTGTTCATATATTTTTTAGATTTTTTGGTTATAGTATGAACTATTTATGAGAACCTTTGTGTTGAATTTGTAATCCTTAGCTATAAAAACTGAACATTTTATAATTTATTAATTACAATGATTGATAATTTTCGAGATTTTGATAAATTTTGTCAAAATTTGATCTTTAAATGCTTATAAAAAAAAACTGTGAATATGTATTTTTAATATTTTTCAACTGCTATTGTAACAATATATCAGGAGCCTTGTATTAAATTTTTACACTTTTGGGCCTAACACATAAAACTTTATTGATATTTATAGAAAAAAAAAACTAAAAAAAATTGAAAGCTGTAAATGTCCATAAACAGCTCAAAAAGAGTCAAAATATTTTCAAAATTGTATGGTGTATAGAAAATGCTAATTTAAATATTCAGTGAAATTTTCATGTATCTACAGTTGTTCGTTTTTGAATTGCAACAAAATAAAGAAATCGCTACATGAATAATCGAGTGAATATCCAATGTTGTAAAAATTTGAATTTCAAACGCTCATAAAAATTTAATTTGACTGTCCGGTAGAGATTTTTTTATTGATAAAGGTAGATAATCTTATAAGGAATCTTGTGTTTCATTTTTAAATCTTAGATTTAAAAAGAAAAATATTTACGAATTCTTAACTCAAAATAAATTGCTAATTTTCGTGATTTTTCCATATTTTGTCAATTTTTGAACTTTAAATGCTTATAAAAAAAAATTGTGACTAAGGATTTTTAATATTTTTCATCTGCCTTTGAAACAATATATTAGGAGCCTTCTATTAAATTTTCAAGCTTCCGAAAATGCAAATATAAACAACCAGTGAAAATTGCATGTATATACGTTCATTTGTTTTAGAGTTACAAAAATAATCAAAATCGATTTTTTGGAAAACCAATTTTGCGTAAAAAATTCCCGTTTTTCCTTAATTTTTATGTTGTTTTTCAAATTTATACTTTTAACCCTCCAAAGTACCAACTAGATTCACTTTCCTATCAGAAAAGATACTGATGAAGAAAATCCAAGTACTTTTACTGTCCTAAAACGTGATGACAGACACAAAAAAAAATATAAAAATAAAAAAATATAAAAACACACA